GTGGCGCCATCGGCGCATGGATACTCAGCCCTGCGCAGGAAGACGCCCTAAACCCTAAACCCTGAACCCTAAACCCTGAACCCTAAACCCTGAACCCTAAACCCTAAACCACTTAAGGGGGAATAGACCCTGAGCCCAGCGCCTTGGTCAGATTTTTGAGCTGGTAGGCGTCCGTCGCTTCCTTGAGCCCCCCCGCGTCTTAGGGTTTCGGGGTCGGGGTTTAAGGGTTTAGGAATTTAGGGGTTCGAGGGTTTCAGGGTTGTAGGGGCTTAAAGGTTTAAGGGTTTAGGCTTAAAGTCTAAGGGTTTAAGGATTTAGGGTTTAGGGTTTGCGGTTTGGAGGTCCCTCTTCTTACTGGTTCATCGTAATGTAAACTAAACCCGTAATGAATCAAAGCCCGCCTTTTAAGGGCCTTTATGTAGAGATCCCTATTATAATCCCTATTAAGGGGAAGGGATTTATTATCCACGGGTCTGCATCAGGGAATGAGGGAATATATCACATGGAATTATGCTCACGCAGACTAGAGAAGACTGCGTGGAAAGGCAGGCTGCGTGACATGGGCATGATCGAGAAGGATGAGCATCGTTTTGACATGGCATGCCCATAACTTCCCACATTTCTCTTATGAGTTGATTTACATGGGTACTTCCCTTTGGAACAGCATAAAAACATGCAACAACTACCCAAACAATCTGAACCTTTAACCCCTAAAGCCCTAAAACCTAAACCTTAGACCCTAAAACCTGAAACCTAAACCCTTACACCCTTATACCCAAAAGCCCTGAGGCAGGGTGCGCAGCACGCTGTGCGGATCGAGCTTGGCAGGACTTCCTCGGCGACAAACTCCTGGCACAGGAACATTTAGTTGTCTAAGGGAAAAGGATGTTGTCAAGGGGTGAGAAAGAAGTTGTAACGGGGTTATGAAACGTTTTTTTCTAGGGGCTGTATAAGTCTTCTAGGGAGGGGAGGGGTAGGGGTTATGTAGGCGTCACATAGGAGTCATATATATATATATACAATATATGCATACGGCTTACGGCCTTCCAATTTTTTTTCCAAGGCCGTCAAGGGTTCAGGGTGTTTGGGGCTCGGGGTTTCGGTGCTGTGGGAACATGAAGTATCCGAAAGCCACACAGGGTTGCCTTTAAAGGGCCTTGAGCCCTTATCAAGCTTGCCGATAGGTGATATCTGGTGGCACAAATCACAAGCTCTGGTAGTTATCGGTGCTGCAATGACCTGAGGGAAAGGCTCTGCAGAACAGCACGTCCATCCATCACAAACTTCCAACTTTCCGTTTCAAGCTCTGAACTCTCAGCGTCTACCTGCACATGTAAGTTTGCACACCGACCAAAATCTGCAACAAATGTTCTAAGTCCCCAAACACGGGGCAAGCCACCAATTTTTGTAAGCGGTCCTCAGTGTTCAGCTTGGCTTGGAGGGACCGCGCATACTGATAAACGTAGCCGCAGCACTCTGCAAACTCCTCCGGCCGAGAATGAGGGTTAGCAGGATATAAGGGAATACGTTGTAGGTTACGGGCTTAAGGTTTAGGGTTTAGAGATGTAGTTTGCGCTGCTGCTGCAGCTAAACCGAGCTCTTCAATAACGATGGCGGCTGCGCGGCCCTAGAATGCTAACCCATGAAAAAACGGGCTCGACAGAATACAAACTAACGTTAAACAGACGAGCCTCAGACGGATTTGAGACTACCTAAATCTACCTAACCTTGCTGTTTTTGAGGGTCACAAAATTCTCTTCCTTCATTCTGCAGGAGCTTCAATCCAAAAATGCTGCTGCCTCTTAAAGTGTAATCTGACCCTTCATCTGGCCCAACACATGCTTCAAATCTAGGGGGTTACTATTGTTGAACGTGGACTCAAGTTCAAGAGTCTCGTGAGTATTCGCAACACTCGTTCGCCCAAGCAGCCTTATGAAGCGATTATCTAGATGCAGTACTCTTTTGACAAGACCCAGGCCCTACTATATGCTCCAATTATTCAATCATGGGGGATGCATTGGCATTGGCCCTATGTTGAGAAACGAGGATGCTCCAGCTCAAAACGCTGTGTCAACCTCCCTCACGACATCTTCGAGCTTAACTTGTGCTAGAACTTAGACCGGTAATTCTCCGCAAGTATTTTGTAAGTCTACAACGCCGTCCGGTCTGTATGCTGACACCCGAACCTGCTCTCGAAAAGCGTCCGACCCTTCTGGCACCTGTATGGCCTTTGCCAATGCTGTAGCCGGAAGAAGGAAGGTGTCCTGGACAGCAGGACAACCCACAGCAGCCACCCGTAAAATGTACTGAATGCACGAGAATGTCAATCAAACACCGCACTTATTAGAAGTAGGAGCAGCAGCAGCTGCAACAACAACAGCAAAAGCAGCCTCAGCATAGCATCGTCACCCATCATAATCATCATCATCATCAGCAGCATCATCATCATGATTTGACGCTAAAGATACAGCTTTCAAACTTCAACATGCAAGCAATTGACATTCGAAGTCTACTGACTGCAGGTTGCCGTTCGGATCTCGAAGCTATGAGAAACCCGAGTACCCCAACCATTCCAAACCACCACTAAGATGTTGCAGCAATCATCCCGATCACATGTTGCAGCCCGGCATCATTAAACTGGACGGAGACCATTGTGCAGGTATGCTGGAAGGATGTGAACAGCGAGATCTCCGCCCAGAACTCGAAATCCTTGGGTCATGCGCTTAATAACAATTTTACCCTCGGTTTGGCTAATGCAGTTGGATGGGTCGTGTTTGAGGCGTTCACGCAATGCTGACGACGGAGTTGGCGCTAAGCTTCTCAAAATGTAACCCCTAAAGGAATTACCTCATCTTCAAGAGGGATCCCCAGAATCCCCTTGTTATACCCGCAGATGCCTGGGGCTGAACTTCAAACACTACACCCCAAACCCAAAACCCGGCCATGACTGCTCAGACCTGGTGATGCAGGCTGGAGCAAAGTACTGGCCACAGCTGCAGATCAACAATAACTACTGCCCAGATGAAAGTGCCACCTGGCTAGACAACTCCTGCGCTCTTGGCTTCATCAGCGCCGTTGGTCCGATTACAGCTGCAACTGCCCAACTTCTGTCCAACAACACGCGCTGAGACTGCAACCGTTATGGAAAAGCTGTGCTTGCGAGCACGGCAAGAGCCATCAGCTGTTGACATAACAAGGTAAGACTGTGATATCATCGAGGCTTAAGCTGAAAAGGTAAACAGAGGGAAGCAAAAATGCAAATCACGACGAGGAACAATGGAAAGAAAAAGAGCCCTGAGTTCTCAGCTCTCCGTTCTCAGCTGCAGCAAAGCAACGGTCAGCGTCAGGTTGATACAATCGAGGTCTACTTCTTCCTGGCATTCTGGCTGAATCAGTCGTGCCATACGGTTGCATACTCCCTCCCATTCATGACGGGCTATGCGCCACAAGAAGTAGTCCGTCCTCAGAAGCCCTTTTTGCACCTGGAGCTGAGGCGGATGCCACGATGAAGGAAGGCCACAAAAGCCCTAAAACCTAAACCCTAAACCGCTAACCCTCAAAACCTAAAACTTGGTCCGCATCTTTGCCCGCCCCTCTGCCAGATTTCTACCGCAGGCATTTAAATCCCGCACGGTGAGCACCCCAATGACTTTCTGGTTCTACGTAGGAAATTCAAGGAGTATAATACCCATAGAATCCCTATATAATATATGCCCATGTTCCCTTGTTGGTTCCATACACGATTGTATCGTGTCTCAACCATACTGACTAGTCCTGATCACAAAGGATGGGGGAAGTATCAAACCCAACAACGGACGCAGAAGGCACCTGGTAATGCCCAGGCCCAGGCATGTACCTTGGCGACGCAAGAAAATATCAGACTCATGACTTACTGGTTCTTAGTAGGAAATAAAAAATCCCTACATGACCACTATATACCATATTCCCATATTCCCTCAACCCAAGCCCCCAACCTACAATCATATTCCCATATTCCCTACAAGCCCCCAGTACGCCTAACAGAAGAGAACCATCCTGAGAATTCGGCAGACTGCGACAGCAACATCCTACACCAGAGGGTTTCCAGACACAGGGGGCCTCAATATATATTAGAATCCTTAGAAATCCTCATATGGGAGCCCCTCAAATTGGATCCCACTTTTTGGAGAAAGCACTCTGTCTCCCGATCCCATCATAAGATATTGAATCATGGCGGCGGGCGAGGGACGCCCTGGCATACTAAGACTCTATTACAAGCACTATTTCTGTCACTATTACTGTTACTATTACTATTGCTGTTACTATTACTATTCCTATTTCGCTTACTGATACTGTTCTATTACTATTACTGTCACTATTGCTGCTACTACTACTACTACTACTACTACTTCTATTACTATTACTATTATTCTGTTCAATCTGGTTGCATGCCGCGGCCCTCAGAGAAACGGGTAAAGATGACCTCCTTGTCCTCCCATCACTCAGGTCAAGTGAAGGGTTTCCGAAGAGAAGAGGCTGGCATGCCTTTTGTGTTCATGAGCTGAGGTCTTTTGCACCTTCAATATTTGCTCTTGTGAGACACGCAAATGTGATAACACTGCGCCATCGCACTTTTTATGCCTCGCAGAAGCAGCGTTGCTATATTGCCATTACTGTTATGATTACCTTACTGTTTGTGCGACTACAACGACTATTACCAGAGAACCCTTGTCATGTCGAATGCCTTTGAAGCACGGGGCACAGGCAAATCGTAAGTCAGACATCTTCACGTAACTCCCATTCATGTTCGCTGCTGCCTGCAGATTATCGAACGTGGGGTCCACGCACGTTCTGCATAAACTGCCACCATTGCAGAAAAAGCTTCGCATGGAAAACCAGTGTTTTGCAAACTTAGGACTACGTGGAAAACTGTTGCCAAGACTTCCATCTGCAAAGAGGTTACCAGACATCATGTTGGTAGATGGTTAGGCCGCTACACTACTTCCTGGGGGAGTGGGTCCCGAAAACAATCCGTATAGAACCCCCATACATACCCCTAGAATGGTACCAATGCCCCCCTGAAGCACCAGTAGGACCAAAGTCCCCCTTAAGTCGAGTAGATAGAATGTGGGGTATATGGGGATCTTATTATAAAATACCCACAGCCATATTCTATCTACTTAAGGGGGACCCTAGACCCTAAACCCTAAACCCTAAACCAGGGGGACTATAGTCTAGTTTTTATGTCTCATCATCACGGCCCCGTGTCCTCGAAGACGGTGAGCTCGAGGTGACCGCAAAGCTGCGTGAAGGCACCTGAATAGCGTTTTTTTTTGGGTGGTTAAACCCAGTAAGATTATGTAGGGATAATGGACAAGAAAATGGAAACTACTAGATTATAATAGGGTATATATTGGGGTTAGATTATTGAGTAGTGTTTTTTTGGTGGTTAAACCCAGTAAGATTATATTCCTTATATAAAATACTATACCCAAAAGGAGGATATAATCTTACTCTCTATTGGGTACCATAGTATCCAAATAACAACTTCAACATTTGACATATTACACATGTAGCTAGGGTCTCATATATTGTTTTGCTTTGTTTATTTCCATGAAAAAGGCTGTTGGGGTTTTACATGTTCACCTTTTTCTTCGTATAAAGGGCCTCGGGGATATCCGTCGGGGTTCCTTTGGGTTCCATAATCTTAACTTGCATTTTTCATACCAAGGGGCCATAGGGTTCCCAACCTATAGTGTTTCTTACTAAGATGCCTAGGGGTTCCAGACATGGGTCCTTGGGGTTACATAGCTCTATTTCTGATTCTTTATACAAGGGTCCATTGGGGCTCCAAAGTTTGAGTTAGGATGTTTTATTATCAGGGGTCCTTGAGGTTCTAGTTTGAGTTGTGTTTGTTTACTTCTATAAGCAGCGCTGCTAAGGTGACAGAAAGCCATGGCGGCATGACTTAGGCACAGCTTGTCTCAAGAACCGAGAAAAAACATAGCCCGGGCAGAAAACAAGCACAAGCTCTTACAAAGTTCCATTCGGTTTGGTGAGAGGTATCAGAAGAAACGGTCCTCGAAATTCCCCATGTCTAGTCCGTTCGTTTTGCTGAAGAGGCTATGGTTTCTGAAGTGGCACTCTAGATTTCTCATGCCTGATCACGGATCTCGATTTTTGTCGCAGAATGCATGGTTGTAAGTGTGAAAAAGTAACGAATGCCGAGGCGCACTGCAAAATATTTGAAAGATTGAATGTATACTTGAACAACTGGGGGGAACGCTGCACGTGGCTCGCACCGAACTACCCCCCACCCTACCACCCCCCAAAACCGACGGCATGCACTTCAAGAAGCACGCAGCGGAAAGGCAGCGGATGAAGCACGTCGCAACAACGAAACGTTTAGTACTTCTCCACTGCGAAAACTAAGGGACGGGCATTTACAAAGTCTCCAGCGCGCTGACTTCGAGTGAGCTGGGCCGATACAGGCGTTTGTTACTGAAAGGAAATGTTAAGCACAAAGCTTTAAAAAAGTGTTTATACAACAGTCGGACGTGGACCGGGTTCCTCCTACTACTACTGCTTCTGCTCCTGCTCCTGCTATTGCTAGTGCTACTACCACTATTGCACTTACGCTTACTCTTACTATTAATTGCATTATTGCTGTTACTCCTAATCTCCTTATGATTAGTACTACTCTTACTGTTCTTATTAACTGTATTGTGACTGCTATTATAATTCAGCAGCATCTTTGGCTGCTCTTCTTGTCTGAGCCTAGGAAGGTATTAGTGCTTCGGGGGGCTCTGCGACATCTTGGCAGACTGATTTCCATGAACCTGAGACTCGGCTTGCAACAACGCACGAACTCTTCGGAAGTAGCCCTGGACTCTTGGACACCCCACTTGAGATTGCACCTCCTTCGCCACTTGCGTTTACTCCCGACGTATCCAGTGTCCACCCTCCAGTTGATGGCAGCTTTTGCTGATTTGTACCGCATGCCTTTTTTATCCCCAAAGACGCTTTCATCCCGAGGCACGCTGCGACAAATGCTCCAGGAAGTTGTACATCCTTCGTTGAAGGCTGTTTGAAGGCGTCTGAGGTTTTAACTGTGGGCCTAGTATGGGCCTGGATCCTCGGCTCCGTATGTACCGATTATCTAGCCCCTGAGACCCTACAAACCCAACCAAAATCCCACGGTTAGTGAGGTGCGCATGGTAAGGGGCCAAGGGTTAGGGGCCGCAGGATCTGGAGCTTGGGTCGGGGTTGCGGGTCTTGGAGGCCAAAGGTTTAAGAGAACTTCATCATGGCTACCTGCCTGGGGTTTGAGGATTTCAAGGGCCTGGCAGATGCTGTGGAAAAACAACTTACCTTCCCAGTATCCCCCTCAATAAATAACCCTCGTAGTATTCTTCTTGAATCCCGTATAAAGCCTCGTTCAAGGAGTTTAGACCTGAAACCCTAATCCCTACATAACCCCTTTAAAGAGTTTAGACTATGGCTCGTATCAGGTTGTCTAGCACTAATGTAATGCCATCCTGGAACTCTCCCACTAGCCAGCCACCAGAAACCCGCTCCGTTGCATCTCCCTAACAGCTTTGTTGTTTCTCCCTTTGCTCTTCTTAGGAAAACTGCCCAAAGCTCCAAAATATCTGATGGAGGGCCAGCTTCAAGCCTTTAATTCAAGAACGACATCCCCAAATATTCCTGCACTGTCCGACTAACGACTAATGTTCTGAATTAGCTCAATTTGCGAAGCTTGACAACCAGCTCCAAATCAAGTGGGGCCACTTCCAAAGCCAGGGCACTTGTCCCAGAAAAAGGGAAATTTTCCTCCACAACATTGGAATCGTCAAAGGCAAAGGTAGAACCCTCCAAGGCAGCATTGAACAGAACTGACCCTCATGATACGGTAAGCTTTGAAAGCACAGGGTCACAACACAGTGGAATGCTTCTTTTTACACAAAAGACACACTTGGAGAATTGCAGCGATCTACTTAAACCTAACCTAATCCCACCCCACCTTATGAATCCACAAGAATGTGCAGACAGAGCCGCGCATGCTTCCGCAAGACAGGTCCACGTCGGTCCATGTGCAGCCTCACTTGAACTGGGCTTGGGATACTTCGTTCTTAGCTCTCGAGAGGCTTTGCTTGGATCTGCAGACTCCGGAAGGAGACCGCAATTTCTAAAGATGCGACAGAAAGAAAGCCTCAATCCTACGGTCATGCCTCCACTTCCCCCGCCCACAACTTGGATCAAACGATCGTTCATACTTCCACGATGGTTTCGCTCGAGCGACAACGGGCAGCCACAGATAGCATGATGCAGCTCCAACTACACATGCTGTCCATACTATTTCACGGCCATTGCCAGCTGCTGCACCCTTTCTTCTCCACACCTGCTTGTTTCTTTTCCGCATGAACGAGGCTGGTTCTAGGGCTTCATTTGGCCTGAACTGGCGTGGTTGAGCCCAGGCAGGCATGATCACGCGGCAGCAGAGTGATCAAAGGAACCACAAGTTCAGCACTCATCAATGCAGTGCCAGCGTGAATGAATCTTAAGGACCTCTAAGAACATTGAGTTTGGGATCCTCCTTTAAGATCAAAAAGGAAACTGCCTTAATCTCTCAAAGGCCGTGATCATACTTGGGGTATGCGACACACTGATGGGTATTTCCAAGACTGGAATCACGCTTGTTGGGTCAAGATGATAAAAACACTGCAGAACATAGAATTTTCCTTTACATTGGAGTCTGCAACGTCCCCAAATAAACTGCAGTAGATACAAACAACTTTCCCACCCTGTAACATCCCTGTCTTCATGTCACTTTCCGCTTGATTCTCCATTACAGTGCTCCCTGACCCCAAGCCCTAAACCCTTGGCCCCAAGCTGGCCCTGAAAACCCTAAACCCTACTCAGTTATGAAGGCAAGCCGCTCGTTGATCAGCGTCTGCGAGAGGAGCTGCGAGTCCAAGGGTGCCGCTTTGTGCTTCCTCTCGACATCGTGGAATCTAGTTCCAAAAAATGAGGGGGCCATGAATGGGTCCTTCCAATGGGGTTTATATTGTTTGTGGGTCTATGGGCGGAACCCCTTAGAAGTTCATAAGTTTGCAGGCTGAACGCGGCTTCACAACTTCGATGTTGTGAGAGCTTTCGTTGGAAGATCTACAGGGATTCTTCTGGCCCTTTTGAGGATCGCTTCACTCAGTGGCTGAAATTTAGGGCCCGTAGCCCGGCATTGGAAGGACATCGAACTTGCCACAAAGGCTCCTCAAGCTGTGATCTACAAAGCGAAGCACTCGAATGCAAAGGTGCGAGCTGATCTTGTTGATCTTGAGATACCTCATGGGCATATGAAGGGCTCAATATATGTGTGTAGGGGGCATATGAGCGATAGTCTAAGCTCCTAGCATCCCCCTTCGCATCCCCTTTTCCCTTTTTAACCCCCTAGTCCCCTATATGATCACCTTGTTTGCCCCACTTAAAGGAGTTTAGACAGTAGCTAGCTCATTTAGGCGGGCACAGGGATTGTATTGGGACATGAGGCATGACATGGATTGGAAGCAACATCATGGCCACATTACCCACCTGAGCAAAAGGAGCCTACACAAAATCCATTTGAGGGCTTCCCAAAATCAGTATACTGGGGTCTATATTGATTCTCCCTTTTTAGGGAAACTACCCTTTGATCTGATGCTGGCATTGACATGCTTTGAGAAGCTTGTGAAGCTGATAGCAAGCTCATAGAACGCTGGCTTTTCGTCATCCTGCTCCCGAGAGGCAGCATAGCTGGAAGAAAGAATCTATCTGAATTGCCGCTTCCTTCGCGTTCCAGTTCTCCATCTAAGAAACCCAGAAGAGGACCCACAATCCGAGAACCCCCGAAATCCAAACTCAGTCCCATCAAACATCGGTCAGCTGCATGGCCACTTGACGCTTTCGATCACCCGCCTCTGCATGGAGTTGCTTGGAAAGTGCTTTTGGATATGTAGCTTCAATACTGGTTCCCCATACCCTATGGGCGTATAATCTAGATGGACAGGATATGTGCCATCTTTTGGCTGCCTCCGTCGAATAAAAACAGCAGCTGCATTTACCCTCAGTCATTTCAACAGACGTTATGACTGAATTGGCAATGCCCTGAGACCATCCCCGGCTCAACCCAACTCAGGGTTTAGGGTTTAGGGTTTAGGGTCCCAAAAGGATCATTAAGAGCAGCGGTTTTGGTGGCCGTGTCAAAAAATACAATGATAGAATTAAACCCACTTGGCTAGCTGTATTCTTGGGGTCTTACCGGAATAGTGACCGAACGCTCTCATCTGCGGATTTCTCACTACAGCATATTCTGACCCTAGAAAGATGCAGGGATGATGAGATAAATTTAATTACAGGGAGCCCAATCTTACGATTCACCATGCAGAACGTGTCCAACAAGTAGGCGCGGTATGGCGCGATACTCCCAAGATGGGAACCTTAGTTTCCAAATAACTTATGCAATCCCATATCGTTACTTATTCCTCTACATACCCTTACCATATCCCCATGCGTCTCCGCATACCGGTCTAACCCATGCCCCCTAAACCATAAACCCTAAACCACGCCTCCGAGTTGAGCTTGATAACTTGCTGGATCGTTGCCGAGACCCTAGAGATGCAGCTTGCCACCACGAGCCTTTGCTCTGCATTCTACTAGATACCCCTACATATCCATATCCATCCCATATCCACCCCTGTATATCCCTACATATCCCTATATTATATGTCCCGATGTATTTATCGTAAGGCTCGTCTTCAGTCGAAGGTATCTCGGACACAGGCACACAAAGTACAAGTGTCACAGGGAATGCCTCATGGCTTCTGCAAACCGCATGGGGTGCCTGGAGTTAATCCAAGACATGACCCTAGTTGTACCTGTTCTTATTGGCAGGCCTTAAGAGCTGCCGTCCACTTTACACTATGTAGGCATGGTATGAAATGCTAGTGTCATGTATAACAGCAACTATGAAGGGATGTAGGTTATACCTATTCACAGTTTGAGTGCTTTGGTAGCTAAGTAGACTGTGCACTCTCGAAAAAGATTGTTTAAGGCTCAAGCACGGATGAGTTTGAACTTCCAAGTTTTGAGAAGACGGCTTGTTGGTACGCAATCCTGGGTTTGGAGACATAAATGCCCATGTCCCCACTGATCATGTTGGGTCTGGCAAGGGAATGTCTGACATCAACCGCTGTATGCCCGGCCTATGATGACAAAACAGCAGCAAGAATGTCAATCAATAAGTTCCCTTGCCTGACTTAATTTGGTCGCCAAGGAGCAAGGAGAAGAGGATAACGAAAACATTATACCTGGCAGGAAGTTGTGTCTCAAAGTTGAACCGCCAGCAGGAGGTTCGCTGTAATGCGCGTGCTCTCCTTTCTATACTATTATTTTCCTTGTGCTTCCTTGGGCTATTCTTTCTTTCTTTCTTTCGTTCAGGCTATGGAGAAGGGGAGGTTCCCCCTCTCCGGGCGTCATTGCCCAGCCCGTGTTGGGCCGATCTGTCCCTTGAACCCCTCGTTGTTCCAGTATGCTGGGATTACTGATCCAAAATGTGGGGCCAGTATAAACCATGTTGGGGTAGGTAATTTCCCAGCTTTTGGAACGGCGTCACAGACTGTGTCTCTGCGATGCGAAATGTCATGTCCTTGCTCTTGGTTTGTGTTGGGGGTAGTTGCAAACAACAGCTTGTGTAAAACTGGCTAGCCCCTATAGTGTGTATGTCTGACCTGTGTGAGCATGGATGGACTGTCGTTGGTCTTGGCATATGGGTGTATGTTGCCAACCATGTTTGTCATTCATCTGGTACCCTATTAGAGACTGTTTGGGGGGCCTATTTAGGTTGTGGCAACACATTTACCCCGTTGCCCGCAGATGCGTCACAGTGCAACTGAGGTCCTGGCCCATGCCTTGTGTTTACTTGTCGGGGGATTCTTCTTCTTCTTCTACAGGCTATACGACACCCGGAGGTGTCATGGAGGCGAACCTCCAGCCCCGCGGTCCCAGGTCTGTTGCAGGGATGAGTGCTGCGAACATTGGATCATGGATCATACCCCAACCACCTTCTTCTACCCCTCTTCTACCCCATACTCCGACTTCTATCCAATGCGCATCTCTTTCCCGGGAAAATCGTCTGAAAAGCCGAGCCGAGGAAAGGTTGGTATATGGTGATCTTTTCCCATTCCCTGTGCACATTCCTTTTGATCACCATGTACCCCTTGCATCTCACTGCTCTGAGAAACTTTTTTCACTCCCCAATAGGGGTTCGGATAGATCGTTTTTGTACATATTTCCAACATCCCTATTTCCGTGCGTTAGGGTTTCGCCTTGCTCGAATTTCCCTACCTCTGTCATCTTAACTGATGTCTTTGCAACCACTCTTCGAATTTCCTTCTGCCTTTGCACCTTTAATTACCTGCTTCCCTCGTCCTCGGGTCCTTGTCACCCTTCCAACCTACTGCCAACCTGGAACCTCCCATAACCCAGCCTAATTTCCCTTGGACTCAGGTTGTGCAAATTGCATGCTGGATCGTTAGGGTCTCGGTAAGCTTGTCCTCCACCAGCTTGTGTGGTGGATTCCAAGCGGCATGCTGAATTCACTTCTCTCCTTTTCCTCAAAACCTTGAAAACTCTTTGTTGTCTCGGTGTGGTGCGTTGTCTCTTTCCAGTGTTAACGTATTGTCACAGTTTTGTTCGGTCTGGTCCCGGATGAACTTTTTCTCCATTCAGCTTGCATCTCTTCCATTAATTGTTCCACGAATAGGACTCCCATCCTGTTTTGTAGCTTGCACTCGTTGTTTTTTTGCAACAGCTCCGTCGCCATTTTCCGTCTGCCATTTCTCTTCTTCTTGATCTTGCAGTGTCTTCAATGTCTGCACCTCGGCATACGTAGTGCCTTCTCGGACTCCTTTGTCCAAACTGTGAAGTCTTCTCGCAAGCTCCTCCTCGTCTTTGCTTGCTTGGTCTTCACTCCACCCTTTCTCCCATGACTTTCGGCACGCCTCGCTTTTCCCAAGCCACAGCACCCAATACGCAATCTGCTCCAGGTCTATGTGACGGGGTGCCCGTGCCGGCTCAGCTGGTTTCGTCTCGCTGTGCCACTTCCAGTCTGGGCGCGGTATCTCCCCACTCTCGGTGGGTTTCTCGTCTTCTGTGACCATTGCCTCAGTGTCAGACTCACCCTCTATCGGTGTTTCTTCCCCGGGTCTCATTGGTGAGGCAGGCCTTTCCTGATTGATGCGGATGTGCGCCACTTTCCCAGCATCTGGCTGTTCCTGTCCGCTTCCCGACGGTATCTCAGCTGTTTGGTTTTGCCGCATCTCCCTGGCTGCCTCTAACCTGGCAACTGCCAATTCATCTATCTTTGTCTCATCCACCCTTGCACTTGCTGGGGGTGGCACCTTCGGCTTTTCTTGCCTTCTCGAAACTTCTTCCTTTTTGTCCATCTTGGTGTTCCCACTCGGAGCTGGCTTTTTGTTGTGCGTGCCCTCCTTGACTTCAGTTTTCCTGTCTTCGTCACCTCTTTCTCTTGGGCCTTGCCACGCCAGGATCTCCTCCACCATGTCGGGTGACCTTTCCTTTGTCTCTGCATTGGACTCGATCTTCCTTTTCTTGCCTGCATTTGTCTGCTTTTTTCCTTCGTCTTTCGGGTCGATTTTCCTCTCTTCCTGTTGTCGGCCCGCCTGTTGCCCTGCCCTGCGATTGCTCGATGTGCTTCTCTTGGTTGTCCTTGGGCTTGAGGTGGATGTGCTGCTCGAGCTGCTCGTGGGAGAGTCTTCCCGTGTCACAGAGGCATCTGCATTCATTCCAGTTGCTCCCCTTTCCGTATCGCTTCTCTGTAGGGCCAGCTCCAATAAGAGTCTGTGTCGTCCCTTCATTCCTCCTCTCGCAGCTCTTTGCATTTGTGCAATGGTGGCCCCATTTACATAGCGCTTGCACTCCTTTTCGTACGTGTGGCTTCCCTTTGTCCCAAGGGCACACACCAAACAAACTCCATCACTTTTCCTTGTCGTAGCCGAATTTGTTTCCTTCGTTGTTGTCTCTTCAATTCCACTGCTTGGTGCAGAACTGGAGGGCTTTCGACTTCCCGATGGTGTCTCTCCAGTACGTCCGTGTTGCGAATCCGGTCCGGTTCCCACTCCCTGTGGTGTACTGCAAGGGTCCATGGCTGACTTTTATCTCTCTCCTTTATGTTTGTAGTTCCCCGTAAGGAAAGCATCTTAACTCAGCTAAGATTCCAAGCATAGAGGGCAGAAAATCTCTCCCCATACTCTTATCTCCTTAAGTCAGTGCGCTCGGGATTCCCGATTCCTTGCAGCAGGGGCTTATTCCAAGAAATCCCAGAAACCACTCAGGCAATGCCAACCCCAAGTCACATCCAGACACTCCCTGACAAATCTCCGTTCCCCTTTACTCTTAGCTGCCACAAGGGGGCTCCTCGGTCCTCCCGGTTTGATCTGAAATGGCCACGGTTGTCGTGAGGCCTCAAGCCCCCTCCCCCCGACACTCGTCCACCCACTCGCCCCCAGGGACTACCCCCCAAGGGCAAGATGGGCCGGTGCCAGGCTGTCCTCCCCTCGAAAGAGAAAGGACAGGCAGGAGACTTGAGCCAAAATGGCTACGGGGGATTCTCTCTCTCTCTCTCTCCCTCTCTCTCTGTATCTCTGTCTCTCCCTCCGTCTCTTTCTTCGTCTGCTTCGGCCTATGCTCAGCTCAGCGCTCTATCAGAATGAGCCGAAGGCAAACTACAGCTACATAAGCCACCGACGCCAACCCAAAACCCGCAGCAGCACCGCCACCACCACTTCTTCTACTCCATCTGGTAATTTCCCAAAATCAGGGGACCCCAAAAAAAGACCCAACAATATTAGAATCCTGCAGAATTGGGACCCCCACAAAGGTACCCCTGATTTTTAGGAAACCTCCATCTGCTGCAGTGGTATCAGCCAAGTTACGCCCTCTCTGTAGAGTTCCACGCGTGGATGGCCATCGGCGCAGGAGTAAATTGTCCAAGGATCCAATGGCAACAAGCAAGATACCTCGGTTTCGGGGCGTTGCGAAGATAACATAAAGGCCACAAAGGAATTACTTGCTTTGTCTGAGGGGTATATGATGAGTCTGGGGAGCATACGGACGATGTCAGGCTCACACTTGTTGAGAAGGTCATCTAGTAGCCTAAACTCCGAAATATTCTGCTTCAAATTGTCCTCTAGATGGCTGGGGTGGAGTGACCCTCCCTCCTGCTTCCTAAGCATTCTTAGCAGCAAGTAGTAGCAGGCTAGAGTAGCTCTATGAGCCTTACAGCCGCCCTGAAAGACAAGGAAAGCCAAACCCTGGACACACAATAGGAGGGTAGCAGCTTAGGGACTCACAGGGGTGCTATTAAGCAACTTAAGTCGGGGTCTTATATTGGGGCAGCCATATTAAATTGCAATATATACCCAGTGTGGGAACCCAATGTGGGTTCCTTAGCAGCAACCCAGAATAGCAGCGCCCAACAACTGCCCTGAGCATGTGTCATGAGCAGCAAGAGATCCCTGACCCTGGTCCTTGGAAATTCCCAGAGGAGCACGTTGCTTCAATGAGGTTATGTGAGCTGTAGCCTGAACTCCTAGTATCCATACTCCCCTATATAAGTCTTTATAACCCGCTTTAAGGAGCTCATGTTCTGTTGGTACTTCTCAGATGACAACTAAGCAGCGCTTTGGTAGTTTCGGGGAAGGGGTTGGATCCTGTGAAGGCCTCACCTTTACGTTCTACCCCCTAATATAGACTGTTACTAGGTGGGGGAAATACCCAAATTTTAGGGTTTAAGTTTCGGGTTTAGGGTTTGGGACGGGGGATCCTTGCGCAGAGAACAAGGTTGCGGCATGGGTTGCACGCATACCTCTCAAGCTGGGAACACATTAACCTGATTCAGGCAAAAGGCACACCAACTAGCAAATTTCACCCCAAATTCCTGAACACATGAACTGTAAAGAACGCTTTTCTTGCCAAGGCACTTGAAGACGCAAACCTGAATCCTCAAGCTGAAAACCCTGAAAACAATCTTCTTTCAGGACCACACTGCAGGGAGAAACTGCCTCCGCGCCCAGCAAGAACACCCCAAGTCCTGAACCCTAAACCCTAACCCCCTAAACCCTGAACCCCTAAAACCCTAAACCCCTAAAACCTAATCGCTCAAGCCTAAAGTCTGTTTCAGCACGGTCTCCACTCCAAGCCTGCGCTACGGCAATCCTAAGGCCTGAATCTTAGACCTGTAATGCACAATCCCCTCAGAATTTGGGGTATATATTTGTGTTCCCCCTAT